ATGAGAGGCCTTTACAGCCTGTTCCCGGAGACTGTGGGTATCACTTGCATGCTCATTGGCTGGTCCTTTCTCATCCAACCACGAATAAGGTAAAGAGAAATTAATCTTTCTAAATTGGGTAGTGTTCTCCGCCTAACATGCGCAATAGCTTATGGGCCTTAAGAACTGTTTTATTGAATGAGGAATGAATTACAAGTAATTTTGTGATTTATTTCTGAATAAGACATGATTGTAGGGTTTTATTTTTCAGTACAACTATGAGTAAATCTTAACAAATGACAAAGAGTATTTTCTTTCCCTAAAAGAATGAAGAATTAGGTTCGCTCCTGTATAACTGTATATGCTACTATTTTGTTAGATTGTTAGACTGAACAAAGCAGGTAGGATATGCTACCAATCATATTACCAAGATGCAAAATGATGTTAAAAGAAGCTTCAATGGTTCCTCTGAGAATCTAAATTCTTATACTAACTACGCAGTGACTGCGTCTGTGGGGGTAAGTGGCCTGATGTGCAGCAGATGACCTCAGATCTACACGAAGACATGGTCATGGGTGTTGTCGAGTCTCATTTACAAAACGATTCTTCCGTTCTATCAGTGCATGAGGAAGCAAGTTTTTGCATTATTTATAAGAAGGGAAGAAAAAAAATCCCCATCAATGGAGAGAAACAGAGAAAGATCAATACTGCTTATTTTTGTCGATGCAATTATAGTCGTGCAAGAAATATTTCAATATTTTCAATCTAACATTAGAATTGTAAATATAAACGTAAATATTGTTGGATAGTTTCTAGTTGTGCACTTTAGGTGATCTGGTTGGCAGAACGAACTGTGCAATTGAAATGTTTGATCATCTATTCATCCTTTCTTTCATAGGAATGTTGACATGATATTTTTCTTGTTAGTCCCTTTCCTTTTGGGTTCACTGAGCAACAAACGATGATGACTGAACACCACGTGTGTTTTCCCCTTACATTTTTGTGGATGGCTTTGCAGATGGTGAAGATAACTGCCCCTCTGCCGCATATCCTACAAACTCGAGAGGAGCGTTGCGATCCGCAAGTTGATACTTGAGCTCATAACTTTCCATTTGAAAGTATGTGCATCCATGAGTTGAGCAATCAGTAAGAGTTCACAGGCCATGTTTTTACAAGCCCATGGAGATGGAGGCTATTGGACGCTAACGTCCACATATGAGGTTTTGAGTGTCTTACAGAGTGTCAGACTGAGTTTTTGCGTGTGGCGCAGCGTGGGCAATACAGGAAATGGTATTGCTGAGTTTAAATGGTCACTGGACGCTTCTGAGGAGGAACCATGAGGAACATTTATGTTACAGTAGATGGTAGAACAGAGTAAACTTTTCAGGTCACTGCATCTGAAGATGCATGCACACAGCCAAATGATGTACTAACTGCTGCTGTGTGTGTGTGTTCGTGTTGTATATATGACCGAAACCAATTTTGCACTTATGCAAATGTATGCACATTTTGGCTAAGATTATCATCTGCAAGCATGTAGGAACTATATTACCATGTACTAGTATTCCGAACAAAGTTTGTTTTTTATTTTACTTTTTGCGTATGAACCAAGTTTGAATGCGACAGCCCAGTAGCCCTACATCTGAATCGAGGATAATTCAGATTTGATTCCTGAAACTAGAACAAACATAAATGAACCCATCTCTGTTCTCCTGAACATGAATCTTTATACGGCGGATTTACCAGCAGCGTACACGGAGTGACGGAGTTATGACCGGCCTTGTGCCGAACGCGTGTTCGCAGCAGCAGAGTTACACGAAACACAGGACACCAGCACAAGGGGACTGCGCGGCGACACCATCTCTCCCTCCCTCCCTCCCTCCCTCCCTACACCAATGGAAGGCTCGCCGGCGACGCGTCTCCCCGAGGCCGACGCGCTCCCCGATGGCTTCGTCGAGAGCTCCTCCGCCGACCAGGCCCAGCCAGTCTCCTCCGCCCCCGCCCCCGCCGCCGCCGATCCCCTGCATCCCGCCCTCGGCCCTGATCACGAGGGCGCCGCCTGCGCCGACGGCGAGGAAACCCTAGGCTCCCCATCCACCCCCGCCGACGCCGCCGATGCCCTGCGGAGCCTCTCTATGGCCGCCGCCGCTTCGGAGCCGGAGCGTGCCCCCGAGCGGCAGGGGCCCGCCGCAGACATAGGAGGTGATCTCTCTCTCCCCCTCTCCCTATCACGCACTGACAGCTTCCTGATCTGATGTCGTCTAATTTCGACATCAAATCGTCAGTTACAGTTTATGGTGAATGAGGCAACTTATTAAGCGGCTTCGCCCATCGCCATTGAAGTCTGTAATATGTTCGCTCACCTTCGTTTTGATGCTCTGGCACAGGTGCCAAAGATGCAATGAAGGAGAGTTTTGTAGTAGAGCAATCAGAACCGCTGGCCAATCCAAAGGTTGTCAATGCAGAAATGGATATGGTTTAGATTTCTCTGTCTGCTATATTGGTGTTGGTGTGGGAAGATAAGTGTGTGCTAAACTGGATTGATTCCATGACTTTGTAGGATAGTGGCGAGCCAAAGCGTAAGGTCGTGAAGCGGAACAGTAAGCTAGAGAAGGACAGGGAGTTGTTGCAACTTGCCCAGAGGTACCATGGAGTGGTAGCGGAGAGGGATGCAGGCAAGTTTCTATTATCCAAAATGTGACCCCGATGCTTAGTTCTCCAACAGTTGAATGTAATGGATAAATCCGTTGGTTACTCTCAGTTAAGGATCCACTGTTAAAAACCCCACAGCTGTCCTTTGTTTGGAATAAAGTTATCTAATAACCATGTTAATATATAACGTGTGGTAATTTGAAAACTTCTGGATTCTTCTCATTAAACAAAACAAAACCTATGTAACTAAATACTGATCACTCTGTTTTTTTTCCTTTGTATGCACACTCGTAAAATCCTTCCTACCTTAAAATGTATTCTTTTGGTCTTTCATCAGAAATTATAGCATGGAACATCTGGTGGACCAGACACATTTAGCAAGAACATAGCAAAATCTCCATTCTGCTTCTTCCATGGACAATTGTCCACTCTATATAGGAAAGATGCATTATATGATCGTTCCATCACTATATAAATCTATTCATTTATTTGAAATTTGGGTTAGCAATGAACACCCCCTAAACGGAGACAGCTCAATTGTGCATATTCCATTAAAGGATTTAAAATTCATTAACATTTTTGTTGAAAACATGAAAATCACAGTTAAGATTCTGTGTAGCTCCTTTAGACGGAAGGATTGTCATCCCCTAGAAATTTTTCCTATAGAGGCACATGGGATCAGAAAACTAAAAGACAGTGAACACGAAAATTCCTATGGTTTCCATAGGCCATACACCCCTATTCCGTAGAATTCCTAGCCAAGGCTTAGAGATCTAGAATTTTTTTCTGTGTCTGGCAACTGTGGGCTATGGCAACGCATCTAATAATCCCTAAAGAATACTCATGTGTTTTTTTATGGTGCAACCAGATAATCAAATAGTTTCTATTACTTGTTCATGTGTTTTCAATTCATGCAGGATTCAATATGTCATGACATTTAGTTATTGTGTATTTTTCTGTTCCTGTGTTTATCGTTCATGTATTCTTTTTTTCTTTCTGAGAAAACGCAAAAGCTTTGCGTTTCATTGCATTGATAGAGAGAAGAGTCATTACAAGCTCCAAGAAGGACGCACCCGACGTATAATAGCCCAAGCAAGGCCACACCCAATGCACAACGCAACGCCCCTAGACGCTAGTCGCCGCTCCCTTCAGGAGCAAAGCCGCAAGCCCAGACACGCCCGCCAGAGCCCACTGCCTAGCCTTCGACTTGATTGCGTCATGATGCTTCCAGATGCACCAAACCACTAACTGGATGACTGAGGACGCGCCTTCCGAGCCAAGAACCCGAGGTAGGAACATAGAGGCAAGTTTCTTGCCACCAATCCACAAAGTCCGCCCCCTCGGCTGGGCCAATAGTAATCGACCTGAACCAGGAGAGCACTTGCCAGAGAGGAGGTGGGCCATTGTCTCCTTGGACTGGTCGTATAGCACAAAACTTGATGTGTGCTGCAAGCCGTGACGCCCAAGACACTCTGATCTGGTCAAGCGAGCCACAGGAAGAACTTGACGAGCGAGGTCCGACCGCGCCCTCAAAGAGAGCGCCATAGCAACTCTTGGACATGTACTGCACATCCGCCGTCCAACGCCACTGGAGGGCGTCCGTGTGGGGAGCAAGCTGCACCAGGCAGGCCAACCGGCAGATGGCACAGAGCCGGCGCCCCACCCCGCCCCCGATATCCGAGATCCAGCGTCGATGCGATCGGGCATCCCGAAGAGTCAGGGAGACCAGCTGGTGCAGCTTGGGCGCTATCTCTGAGATTGCCCGACCATCAAGCCAGCTCAGTCGCCAACCACCATCTTGGTGGATGCGGTGAACACTGCATGTTCATCCCAGGAGAACTGGAGGCCGGGGCCTTTCCAGGGGAGATTGGGATCAGTGGGCATCCTCCAGAGCCAGTGGACCCGGAGACTGATTGCCACCCTCCTGAGGTTCAAATCACCCAGGCCGGCCAGACGAAGGGGCCTACACACCCAATGCCAGTTGACGTGGCAGTGGCCGCCCTGCCAAGCAAAAGGAATCCCCTGGGGATCTTATCAATCTGCTTCTGGAACCGCTTGTTCAAGCCAAGAACCACCACCTAGTGCAATGGCATGGGGGCTAGGACCGACCTGACCAAGGTTAGGCGCCCAACCTTTGCCATCATCGATGCCCTCCAAGTTGGGAGGCGATCCGTGATCGTGTCAACCAATGGTTCGAGAGCCACACTTGACAACTTCCGGAGGGCGAGGGGGATCCCGAGGTACTTGGTCAGGAATGGAGCCAGCTGACACTCCATCACCAATGCAACCTCGAGGCCACCTCGTCCGAACAACCTATCGTGGACACCAAACATGTAGCGAAGTTGTTGTGCAACCCCGACGTGTGCCCGCAGAGCGCTAAGAAGCTGCGAACAGCGAGCAACACCCTCCTATCCGGGTGACTGAAGATGATCACGTCGTCCGCGTAAAGCGAGACGCCGGCAAACGAAGTGCGAGGCGCGTGACTACGGAGCACCCCGAACTCCCTGGCCCTGGTCAAAACAACCTGTTGAGGGTGTCGATCACCAACACGAACATGGGGGATAGCAGGTCACCATGTCGCAGCCCCTTCTGTTGCCATATCGGCGGCCCGGCTCACCGTTCGAGGACAGCAGGATGGCAACCCACTCACGGAAGCGTCCAAGCGAGGCCCAAAGCCGATCCTACGCAGCACCTCGAAGAGCAATGCCCAAGACACCAAGTCGAACGCGTGAGAGATGTATTCAGAAGAGGCCCAAAATTATTTTGACCGCAGTAGAAATAATTGCCTGGAAGTGTATTGGTTAGAAATCATATTTCCATAGAGTGGTAGCAGAGAGGGATGCAGGCAAGTTTGTATTATGTGAAACCATGATCCCGACTACATGCCTGTTTTTTCAACAGTTAAGGGTTCACTGTCCAAACACTACAGCTTCACTTTTTTTGGTTGGTATAATGTTCTATAATATTCATGTCATTAGAACAAAGCAAAATAGATCTAACTCAATACTCATGTATGCACATGGTACTCCTAAAATCCTTCCTACCTACTAAGATGTGCTGTTTGCATTTTGTCTCTTGCAGCCATTGCAGTTAAAGAAAAATTAGAATCTCTTTGTAGAGAATTTCAGCGTCAAAACAAAATGTTAAAGGTATGTTCAGTTAGTTCTGAGATGTGAAACTAGTATTCATAAGTATTTTGCACTTCTGTTCAACTGTGATATATCTTAGGTCTGTGGTTCAGGAAGAGTGCCAAAGGGTGTCAACAGAGGGGCAGAACTTTCGGATGGAGATGTCCGACAAATTCGAGAATGCTATGAAGGTCAATGATACGTTACATGACAGTAATCTGAAATAAATATTTATGAATGTCCTTTTTAATTTCATTACCAAATACATACTCTATGAGATTGGCTGCCCCCCATGAATGGGGGATAGCCTGTTTTACGTTCCTGGCCAGCTTGATCCCTGGCTTTGACTTAGTCATTAACTGGAGTACTTTTTATCCTTTATTTACCATTATATTTATGATATTTTATAGGCTGTCAGTGTCAAGCTTGAGGAGCAGAAAAATGAATGCATTGCTCAGTTTGAAGAGAACAATTCGTAAGACTACTAAGCTTAGGCATGTCTTCATTTTTAAGAGTTTCAATAATTGAAACAACCTCGATTCACAACAAAGTTACATACGTAATGATGGCTGCTATTTTGTAGGCTGAGAAATAAACTCAAAGACCTTGCTGATCAATATAATATCATTCAGCAGAAATATGCTCATCAGGTATGCTTGACCAGTAGCTCCAAGGATCCAATACTGCCACAAGCCCACAACAATGATTTATGTGTTGTTTATTGAACTTCCTATGAACTTTTGTTTCTCGTTGGCTCATCATACCTGCAGCTGAAAGAAAAGACGCTGGAACTTGAGCTTGCTGATCTGAAAATTCAACAGCATCAAGCGAAAGCAGCTCAAGAACATGCCCAAATGGTATTGTATGCTGAGCAAGTTTCTCAACTTGTCACTACTGAGAAGAACCTGCGGGTGCAGCTAGCTGCTGATGGTGAAAAATTTCAGCAGTTTCAGGTACTTTTGCAGAGAAAATCCTACTCTTAATTCTTAATTCTATTGCTCCAGTTTATCTTAACGGTGAATTTCCCCTCCCCCAGTAGATGAGCACATAAACAGCATTGAGAAAATTCCTTATTTGACACTATCTTAAAATCTGCTTCCTTATTTGACACTGGAAAAGTTTTTCTTCCCTATTTGACACAAGTTCTAAATTTTATTTCCTATATGACATTTTCGTCCATTTTGAGCCTAAATGACACCTGAAAAGACTCTTTTGCCCCTCATGTGGTATGTGTGTGGGGGGCAATAGCGCGCACACGCAGCATCAGTGCGAGGGCAGGAGCACACACGCAGCAACACATACACATGCACCAACACACAACGCACGCGCACACACACGCAACAACACGCGCGCGCGCACACACACACACACGCAGCAACACACATGCACGCGCACACACACGCAGCAACACACACTTCATGCAGCACACACACACGCAGCAGCAGCAG